AGCACACACAGAGCACACACAGCCCCATCACGGCCCGCCCCACCCGGTCCCCCCGCCGCTCCGGATCCTCACGCAGGGCTCGCAGTGCCTGGCGCCGCACGGAGCCCCTTCCCCGCCGCCCGAGCGGCGCTCCCGGCTGGGCGCGAACAGGGAATCCTCGAACTGCGGACCCAGCTCCGGCTCCGGCTCCGGCTCCATCGCCGCCGCAGCTCCCGCCGGCCCCCGCGCGGCCCCGCTCCGCTCCGCTCCGTGCGGGGGGAGGAGATCGGTCCCCGCTCACCGACAGGGGAGTGCTGTGAGACCTCCTCGGCAAGGGCTGAGCCACAGTYCGCGCCTTGGTAAATTAACTGCATAATTGGAGAGGTGTTCTGTCAGTATCTCGGCCCCGTGACTTGTGGGGGTGAGTGGGAATGCGTTTTGGTAACTTTGCCATTTGGTTTCAGTTTTGTCTCAAAGCAGAAGGGGAAGCTGGCGTGTAACCTGCTCTAGGTGACCCTGCCTTGGCAGGAGGTTGGACTAGATGATCTCCAGGGGTTCCTTCCAACCCRAAAAATTCTGTGATTCTGTGACATTTCAGGCTTTCCACGACAGGCTTTCCCAGAGCACCCCAAACTGTGCTATGAGAAATGGAGACACAACAAGTGAAGACTGATCCAAGACCTTCTTCAGGATTTCAAGACTCAGGCACACGGCTGCTCATTGAGAGCCCCCAGGTGAGGCTGTACCTGCCCCAGCTGCCTGCCCTGCCTCATGGTACTACAGTGCACCATGTGCTGGGTTTTATGTGTACTGCTGTGCAGTTCCCTGTCTCCACCTTGCCAGTCTGTCCATCCAGGAAGGTCCATTTTGACCCATCTAATCACCACACAGGTTTGGAGAYGGTGAGCTGAAAAGCCATCCTTTTACTTCCTTAGCCTGGAAAATGGACTAATGCACTTGTCTATACCAGAACAGCCTTTGAGGCCAAAGTAGTGCCTGTATGGATAATTTTAAAGGTTTCCTTCTAGTTGACATGTAAAACACGTGGTTTGGTTTTGTTAGGGTATTTTTTTTTATGTGCTTAAAATACCCTTCCATACCAGCATACCATAACCTGGCATAATTGCCAGGGTAGAAACTCAACTTTGGTAGCTGGGTTTGATCAGAAAAATAAAAGCAGATTGATGTTTCTTTTGCTTTTAAACTTGTTGTTTAGCAATAAGCCATCCAGCACAGAGGAAATTGTTCGGCAAGTAAGTCTGGAAAGAACCAGGAGCTTGCCTGATGTGCTTCAGTCTTTCTATTAGAAGTATCAAGGTAGGTGGGGACAGTTGCTTTTATGTGAACACAAAAACCATCTGGCTTCCTCCTGCCCACAGGCCAGGATAGGCAAAGCACACAGGGGACAGACTGTGGAGATTTGTACAAGTCTCTGAACAGTTCCAGCACCTGTAGGGCTCCTCACATGCACTGGGCACAGGCATTCCCTTTATCCCTATCCAGGACTGCAGGTCACACTGCAACACACGGGTTTGATGAACAAGGCACAAAAATCCAGAAGGACRAATAAGCACAAATCAAAATGAAGAAAATCCAAACAAAGAAACATGAGTAATCAAAGTGAAATGTGGCCCCAGCTCAAAGTAAAACACAAAGAGCAAGGCATTCCCAGGGGCAAATCCCACAGCAGCCAGTTGTCTGCCAGCTTGGATCGCAGAGTCCTCCAGGGCTGGGGGTTTCAACCATCATTTCTTCTGAGGATACCAATGTGGTCTGCAAAAAGGCTTTGTGTTGCAATGCAGAGAATGCCTTTGTCTGGTAAATCAGTGATAGGAGAGCCACAATTCCCGAGTGCCATACAGGGGACCTAGCAGCTGACTGTGTAGTTTCAGTYGTAAGTCATGGGCAAAATATTGCCYCTCTTCTTCATTCCTTCTTTGCCTGGCTCTCCCCTGTCCCTGCCTCCCCTCAAGACATTTAAAAAGCTCCTCATATATTAGTTACAGAAATGAAAAAATGCAACTTTAGGAAATTCCTCTGCCTTGTCAGCACCAGAGGTTTGCTCAATTTCTCCCCTAAGATCCAAGCCATCAGTGTAGCCACCACAAATTCTCACTSTACTTAAGTAAACATTGTACTTGTTTGCCAGAGTTTGCATGGCATGATTTGCCTTGGTGCTGTTAGCCTTGGCTTCACACAGAAGATATCATCCCTGGAAGAGGCAGCTTTGAAGGGGCTCAGATATACAAGCCCTACAAGAGCCTGTATTGCTGCAGCTGCTCTGTGTATGCAGCTTTAGGGATAAAAAGAAGCTTTAGATGAATCTCTCCCTAGAAGCAGTCAAGGTCTTACTCCATTGCCAGCCACCAGCTTGGCACATGACCACTGGACCAATAAAAATGGCCTCCAGTAATTTGTGACCTCCAAGCAAGTTCCTGCGCATCAGCAAAGCCATTGTGGCTGTTCACACGAGCGTGCCTTGTTATGGCARTGGTGAGGGGCTGTGACCCAGCTTCACCCTGGGTGAGCAGGGGCAGGCAAGTGGGGGGCAAACCAGTGTGCTTCATCTTGCATCAGGGTGAGCCCAGAGACAGCCCAGGCTGTGAACACAACTCCACTGATAGGCAGGGGTTTGTCACACTGTCTTATTGCCTGAGTCTTCTGGCCAGGAAAAGAAAATGCAGCATGGAAGACAGAGTTTGTCAAAGCTCTTCTCATGRTTTCCTTGTCTATTCTGAGGCAAAACTGATTCAGAAGAATTTTCCTCCAATGTTTCTTTAATTACTGATGCTATTATTTGTATTGTGATAGCCTCCATGGGTCCTCGCCACASTCCAGCCACTCTTGTGCCAGCACACACACACCAAAAAGGTTTCAGAGACTATCAAGCACACACAGCAGAAACAAGAAACCTCATTCGGCCACTAGGGCCCTAACTTGATAGGCACTACCCACACACATTGGCCAGGAATAATGCAGCTCTCACATGTTTTATTAAAATATACTGGAAAGCAGCTGCCTTTGGAAGAAAGCAGGAGAGTAGTCTTATCCTCAAAGCAAGAGAACTGCTTGTAGTGAAAAGGCCAAGTAAGGCCCACAGGCAGCATTCCTCAAAGGATGGGGTGGYTCCTGAATTGTTTAGTGGATTCTTACAGACATTGTGAAATATTCATACCTTGAGGGAAGATTAGTTTTTGGATAGTCATAACATAGGCTCTTCCCTAAAMACACTCAAGAAAAGAGGAGTAGCTGTTTGCTGATATTGTCTTGCTGTGTCCTTGTCTCTTGCCTTTTATTTAGATTGCAAGTTCTTTACAGCAGAAACCAGTTTTCATCTTCATTGCATGGTGTCACACATAAGGGGATATTGTCCATGGCTACGGGGAGGGTAATACAAATAACATTTCATGACTTGGGGCAGACAGAGGTTATCACTACTACAAACTGCAAACAAAAAAGCTCTGRTGAGCTCAGATGAACCCAAGCACATCTTACAATGATGGCAGGAAGTTCTAGTTAGACACAACAAAAATGCAGTGGGGAGGTGAGGGGTGCATTGTGGAAATCAGATTATGAACTGTTTGTTGTTAGTAGAAGCCAAAAGCTACTTAGGGGTCTTTAGGACAGACAGGAGAAAATGCAGCCTCCAAAAGATGGTTCATTTGCCTGCTCTACCTTAAGAYAGTGCAACCTTTCAAACTCCTGGCAAGCCATATTAACTAGGCCATAATCCACCCCCCTCAGGCCTCACAAAACCCAATAAAGTTGTTATTGCCAAAAGGGTGCACTGCACACAGATGTGTTCAGCTATTAATGGCTTTTGCAACTATTTTCTGTCTAGTAGGATAAATGATGAGCAGAATGAGTAATGCCCTTGGGTTTGACCAGAAAGCCTTTGAAAAAGAGRAAGAAAACTTTCAGGAAAGATAGAAAGAACAAAAGTGATCAAATGCTAGAAGGTATCCTAAAGCAGTGATCTTCCCACGCACTACCAGTACTTAAGAGATCATGTGTCTGAACTGTTTCACTCAGCCATGTAGTACAAGTACTGAGGTTGAACCTTGATGGTCTGTCAATATGAAAGTCATGACAAAGGGTATCTCCAATCTTCTGCTCTAACTGGAAAAGCAGATAGGCTTTCTGGTCAAACCAGCAGAGTTGAGCACGGTGAGGTTTGTATGCCTCCTTCTATGCCCTTCTTTCAGTTTTATCAGTTTTTCTGAAAACTCATTAACTTGTGCTGGCCACTGTTATGCTTGTTGCTTAATTGCTACTTGTGATGAAACCAGGCCACAGAGACCACAGTGACTTCATTACTTCTCGAGGTTAGAACTTTACTACTGCAGTTTTCAGGACCAGGCAGGACTAAGAAATGCTGGTGGCAACTCCTCTAGGATGCCATTTAAGACCTTCTTTGTAACAACATTAAATAAACTGATCTGACTTACTACAATATTGCTGTCTTGCAAGAACAAAGAGAAACAAATCACAATAATCAGAAAAAATACCAAGGGCTTCAGGCTGGCCTTCAGTGACCCTCACCACTCAGGTTTTTTCAGTCTTGCTCTCTTTTTTCCATGTGGAGGCTGCCTCCACATGGGAAACAACCAAACTGTTGATTCTGCAGTGCCTTGTTTCCCATACAGCTTTTGCACTGCTGGAGAGGACTAGTGGAAACTGCTAACAAATTTAGCTTCTATGTCTTCATATTTGCCTTATATAAGTAACAGTGCCTGCAGAAAGAGTGAGGCACAGCAGAGGGAAAGCTCAATGAACACATACAAACAAAATGCAGAAATCCAGAATGGACTTTGCCCCCAGTTTCTCTCTTCCCCCAATTACTGCACATGRAATGAATTTACAGCAAAGAAGACTATAAAACACACATCAGTGATGCAGTTTTAAACATGGAGGTATCTCTAGGAAAAATTATGARCTTCCTTAACAGGGCATCTGTGAGGCTCCAGTTCTGCACATGGTGGGTGCTGGGTGTGATACTTGCACAGAAATCCTTGCAACTGGACTCATCTAGGATCTTTGGCCAGCTGCTGGAAAGAAACTTCAGAATTGAGAGCAGTTAAAATTGCAATACTATTTGTTCCATCTCTGGTTCAGRACATGTAATTATTACAGGCTATTTTGTGGGCTCTCTTCCTTGTTAGTCCCTTAAGACAGGCTTTACTGAAATTATGTTTTTTTCCTCTTTGGCTCTTATTTAGGAAAACTGAAGATCACTAAGAGGAGAATTACTGCCAACACTGACCTTTCTTTTCACCAGAGACACAAACCAACTAGGTGTCATGTCCTTTTTCCAACTTTCTTCTACCAAATATTTTAAGGTAATGAAGATCAGCTCAGCACTGAACCTGTAAAGAAATGCACATGGGAGAGGAATTAGTCACAATGCTAGTAGTTCAGTGTTAGAGCAGTAGAAACATATATTCAAATATTTCTTTTTACAATATTTGAAGTGCAACAAGTCATTTAACCACAAAAAATGTTAGAAAACACCATCTGAGACTAAGGACCTCCACCAGCAATATTTCAAATCAACACCAAGCTTACAGGGAGCAATTTATAGAGGGGACTTTCTGACATACAAAGGAAAAAAGGCAGTACTCAAAGTGGCTTGGTATTTTAAATTTGCAAAAATAGTAGTTGATAGTATTTTTATGAAAACAAATGCAAGCTGAAAGATGCTAGGAAGCGGGGGCTGGGAGAGGGGAAACTACCCACTGATCTCTTGTGAAAGYATCTTCTGAATTGCAGCATTTTGGAATTGCTGGTATACTATAAACAAAAATGGTACCTTAAAAAAAAGGTGACTGCATGCATAATTGAATGCTTCTTGTAACCCCCTCATTAGCTGATTCTTGAATAAGCATTCTTATGTTTTATCAAACCGAGTAAAACTATTTGGCCAAACACCAAGTTGTAGTGACTACTCATGCTCATTTCCAGTCCTGTGCTTAGATCACTACTTCAGCTCAAGATGTGATTTTTCAGACTAACATCAGCTACAGCACAGGAATGACTCTATTGCTTTAAACATACAGATGGGGATACATCTGTAGGCACAGTGCCAGGTCCTGCAGGGAAAACTCAAGTCTTGAGCTCCTCCATTTGCAGCTCAACAGCTGGAATAGATGGGTGTKATGAGTCCCAGCAATGCAAGACAGGGGCTCTGCCTCTGGCAGGGYGCGGATGTGAGCGATGGCAGGTGAGGCTCATGGAAGAAGGGCAGAGCTCCACAGCAGCTCTTACCTCAGACCCTTCTCATCTCAGGAAAAGGCACATGTTAAAGCAACCTGTCCAACTGACAGGTACTTCAGTGAAGAGGTGCTTTTTTACTCACCCCTGCTCTTCCCACCCTTAATATTTTAAATGCCATAATAAAAAGCATCTGCCTTAATGAGAAAAATCACGTGAAYGTCCCAGTGCTGCTGACATGGCTGAACAGTTCAGCAACAAGCAGCTGCACTGACTCACACGTGAAGCTGACCTCACACTGGCAGTTCAGCCAAGTCAGTTCTCTGAATTCAATGCATCTGAGGAATTGGTGAAATTCCGTTTTGTGTAACAGGGAAAAAGGTATTTGAGGAGATCTGGTTTGTGACATTTTCATACAGACATGATTCCTGGTTTCCACACCATCTCTTAAAACCACACACACTCAGTAAGGAGACATTTATTCCATTATTTCTGTTTTCAAATTTTTGGTACAAAGTTTATTTTCAGAAGTTCTCACATGATCCTTTCTTCTACCAGCATCTTTTAGGATTTTTCTATCTCTGATTTATTTTCTTTATCTGTTGAAGCAAAAGCAGTAATTGCTACAGAAAGCAATAATGGCAATATTACAAATATTTTACAGCAGCATCCATTCGTTTCTTTGCCTCAAAAAAATAACAAAAATAAATCCAAAGACGAGATCCATACAGCCACAAAGGCTTAGGTTTGTAATATCCAGATGTATGCTGCGTTCCCATATACGAGTTGTACAAGTCCAGCACAACTTTCCAAGTTTGTGCAGAGCCTGATAAATAAGACACAGAAATATCAGTTACATTATACGGTTTCTAAGAACTTTTACTCTGTAAAATGTTTGGTCACTCAAAGCTATAAGCTTAATCACATATCAAAGAACACAGGCAATAAAGCCCATCTTACTAAAACATATAGTATTAGGCCAAACAAAATATAAGAGGACAAAATCTAGTGGTCACTGAAGCCTCTTCAAAAAAGGTCTAAAACAGAATGTTTCCATCATGTATCAGAATAAAAATGTACTGTATTAAAATTCGAATTTTTTTTACAAGCTGTCTTTTAATCAGTCTTCTATTTACAGTGCAGAACTGCCAACTGCAGTAGTTTAACTTTGGCACAACACTAAGTTCCAATCCTTTTGAGTATTCAAGTCCTGTGTGTGTCCAAAAATTTTCTTGGTTTCATGAAAGATTAGGCCCATTCACAGTTAACCAGWTATCTTGAAATTTTTCAAGAATTGCTTCCCCTTCACCACACTGGGCAGCTACAAAGGAAAGACATTGTAAGCTATTGCATCATTCAAAAGAAACTCTTCATTCTAAACAGTGACAGTATTGTTGCTTCCTTTAATATCACATACACCAGACAGATCACACAGACGGCTACATACCAGACACCTTTCTAAAAACCTTGCTGGTCGTTAGTGAATCATCTTCCTCATACTTCAAATACATAACAATGCATTAACTTAATTTCATTTCACATGTCAAACAGGACATTTAAATATATTGCAATATATTATAGAAAATTGCAAAGCGCCATCATTTCTGTAAACGAGACTGACACCTGCTAACTCTCCTGTGCACATGAAGAGCAGTACCTAGTGCCACATTTTCTATACAATATAAAGCCTTCCCAGGTAGGGCAACTCATTTTAGTGCATTTCTGTACAGACTGTAAGTATACATGCAGATAGCCAACTATGCAGGGTTGGAAATACTTTTGTAAGCTGAAACTGGAAGATGGGGGGAATATTCCGAAATCATAGCAGAGCTCTTGTGGTTGATCATTTCGTAGCATAGATGAATACTTGAATCTTCTGTCATTCTAGCAGATTCTCTAGGGACAGTTTCATGATAGGTATCTAGTATTGAATAAGCATAAGGAAATACTTTCATCAACCCAGACACAAGTATTATATATCCTAACACATTCTAGGTTATGTGCAGTSCAATGTTCACACAGTAACCTTATCTCTAAAATACTTGAGAAAACCTAAAGCATTTTTATGCCACAGTATTATAACCAAGGATCAGTTACTTTGTCCTTCACTGTAGTGCTATCTGTTCTAAATAAAAAAAGAAAAAAAAGGGCCTCATTTCCCAACAAGCATCAAGTTGGAAGCAGAGGTCAGTACCAYTGCTGACCATAATACAAAGATCAGTGCTACAATCCAGCCAGAAGATCCATCTCTATAATATCTGCAGTGCCAGTGGCTGCCTGCAAGCCAGGGTCACTGGAGCTGGGGTGCAGTTCATCTGAGTGACTCCAGGCATGCAGGACGGGCAGGTTTGCATTCCTTGCTATCCTGACTACCTATGGTGTCTAGCCCCAGTATAGACATCAACAWGCATCAAACGAACCCCATTTAATTMATGGAAAGTGCTASAAKATACTCAGTTATCACTCTATGTTTTATAATGTTGTGTGAGTTGGTTTTGCAATGATTGCTCACTGAAAAGGTGCAGATGCTCTTCACCATAGAAAGAGAAAAATCCCCAAGAACTCCAACCATTAAACTTGGAAATACTGGCTATAACCCACCTGTGCTTCAAAATCTCACTTTTTAGAAGTGGGGAAACAACGCAGAAATTTGAGCTATTGTATGTTAGTAGCTACTATGAGGATTTTTCAGTTTCTGATGAAATGGAAATTTCAAAATATTTTCCCACAGAATTTTAACACAYCAGCAAACCTCAAGTAAATTGACCTGGTAAGTTTGTGTCATGCTTCTTGGTAAATCTATTTATCTTAGGATATCACAAGCTGGATGGAGACTACAGATGTAACCAGCACTGTTCAGTGTAGGGAACTGAAACCTCTATTAGCCCTTCCCATCTTTTAATCTACACAATCATTCCAGGCATTATAAACAACTCTCAAAAGTTTTACTATTCTCTGGTCATTGATACTCTCTATTACTACTGAATGCAAGCAAAATTGTTTTCAAAGAAAAAAATAAATTAAATCAAAGAAAATAGCTATATTTCATTGCACTCTACTTTTGTGCCTTCAGGTTAGGGCAGGGATATTTAACACTACAGAAGCTTAAAGATTATCTTCTCTCCTTGGGAGATATGAATATAGACAGGTATTGGACTCAGGTGGAGGATGCAAATTGGTACTACCATATTTACAGAAGAGAATACTGACATCCAGCCTGAATACACAGTACTCCATTAAGTGCAAAAGGAAAAACGCTCCCCACCTTAARCCACAGCCTGATTACTCAGCAGCCAGAGATCAGTTGTCAAAGTTACTGCTGTGCTCTCATTTCAGAGGAAAAYGGAGGAGGAGAATGTCTGCATCTTTGGGCTTTCTGGCCTACAGGGACTGTGTACAGCCATGAATCACTTTGTATGGGAGCCAGAAATCCTTTGCTCTTTAGAGGGGAAGGGAGTGCATTTGCCTGCATTTGCCAAGCATTTCTTGGAGAGCAAAAGAAAACCTGTTTTTGTCCAAGGTGAGCAAATCATCRACTAGAAAATTATTTCATGTCATGTGTGCACACTGAGTAAGTTTCTTTCCCAATAATCAAAGTTACAGTCAGACACATATATAACATAATGAAAAAGCAATTTKCAACATTGTACCGGACAAAGTTAAGAAAGGTCGAGGCCTCATTTACTAYAGTGTATTAGAGATAATACACTAAATTCTAATAATGAGGTACTAGGTATCTCCTGTCCTTTGCTTTCAAATGAAACAGAGATTTCTATGTGCTAAAAAATAGATTGTAGTAATTTACTCCTCTGTCACAACAGAAAGAGTTAAAATTGTTTTGCTTATCAACTTCTAGGAAAGTAAATTCTGCAGGGCAGGCAAAAGTCAGAGCCTTGTTCAAGCTTCTACATTTTCCCTTCTTTCTCTTCTTACAAGCCAGCACTGTTTGCTCATTCAAACCTCCAGGGGGAAATAGGTCTGACTTTTTTTTTTTTTTTGCAACACTAACTTTGGGGTCATTGAGAGGCCGATGCTGGGAAGACAGCACTGTTTAAGATGGAACTGTGCTCTTTCACTGCACTCTGAAGCGAGGGCGAAACATGCCATGCAGCAGGAGATACTGGGATGGTGGRTATCTTCCCTGGTTGTAACACTGCTTTCTTTCTTTTAGCTCTTTTCTCTCACCATTCTGGCACAGGATTATCTGTATTCTCTKTTTAGTTGAATACCAGAGACAGCTGGCACCATCGGAGCAGGTACTCCTGGCAGAAACAGCAGATGAAGAGGAATGCACTAGCTTAGCTCTAAGGGAACTGATGCTCACAACTGAATTTTCATGTAGTCCCAATGAAGAMTGAGAAACCAGCCACCCAGAGGTAAGATCTAAGCAAGATCAAAGYTCCTTCCTCTCAACATCAATGACCATCACTGAAGTCTGGCGCAYAGTGATCTCAAACCTAGGTGGTAAAGATCCATAGAAATACAGAAAACATACCACAGGTTCATCTAGACACAGTCCTTACCATGCAGGAAAGTCAATAAAAAATCACATGGACTCTCACCCCTGGGTAGATGTATTTTCTTGCCCCTTCCTTTCCCATTGCCAATATAACTCAGTCCAAATGGCTTCCAAAACATCCTGCARGTGTGCATAAGCTCCAAGAGGGAGCCAGGCTTGCAGGGGTGCACTGCTGACGAGCACAGAGACATTTGGAATCATAACAAATTAAGACTCTTGCTGATGTGCTGAAGTTCAGGGAGCTGCTGTATGTGACTGGTAGAATGAGGTGCCATATCCCTTCCACCCATCAGGCGATTTCTGTTTCTCTCASGTGACTGTACAGCAGCCAAAGGGTGGCTCAGATGAACCTGGACTAAACCACTGTTAGTGTAGCTTTGAGTTCCCACCAGGCATGACCACAGTTCAGAGACACAACTGACTACATGCTGACAGCTCTGTCCTGATGTGGGAGGCCTCTGGAAGGAGTCTGCCTCTCTCCCAGTATGCAGTGCAAATATACACACGATGTAAACACAAAATGGGGAATTAATGCACTCTRTTCAAACAGAAATAACAGTCAGACTATGGGCAATAATGAATGCATACAACCTCTGTCTTCAGACTGAATCCACCCAGATTTCCCTCCTCCTTGGCACAACTGACAGGCTTAAAATGYGCATGTAGCCCAAAGGAAATGTGTAGACTCTAGTATTTACAACAACTGAAAATGTGGCCCAGTATGCATCAGCCACTGTCTCTGATGATTCTACTGAAAAAAAGACCTCCAATCCAACTATATTTAGTCTGATAAACAATGTATTTCCTCTTCCTGTGTTTTTCAGACCAGATGTGCTAAGGCCTACCATTGTAGCTGAGTGTTATTTAATAGAACACTGCCAAAGTGGGAAAATATCCCAGTTTAATAATGTAATTAACTTTGATCTTTATTTTTTCCCATTTTTTAAAGAAGATAGGATTCCTAGCTAACCTAAATAAGTCTCTACTAACAAAAATGGAGATATTTATTTGGACAGGCTGCTTGGTTGTTTTGGGTTTTGKTTTTTTTTTAAAAAGGAAAATTAATTCTGGGTCAACTTCAAGGATTAAGGCAACTCCACATTTTGCTTGCTAGAGGCATATTCCCAAGGATTTGTTTTAGTATTTTTGGAAACTTAAAAGTAACATTTCTTTTCCTTCTAGCTTTGCCCTTTCCTAGTCAGCAGGCACAGATTTTTGACCCTGTATTCCCAACAGAGCTTGAAGCTAGTGTAAATTTTTCTTGTATCTGCTCATTACCAGACCATTACCAGGCAAATGAGAATCCCTCCCAATCCCATGCAGCAGTCAATGCTGAAAGGCCAGATCTTGATCTCTCATATACCACCTCACATCCAGAGTCATAAACACTCCCACAAAACATGAATGAATTTGCTTCTGCCCCACTCCAAAGTTAAATTGAGGGATTCTTGGCTAGTCCTCTCTAGCAAAGCTGGCCACTTTGTGCCACACCAGTTTGAGTCTTGGAAGCCAGGGAATAGTTTCATCATCAAATTCACAACATATACCATAAGCTATTGCCTTTTTGTCTCCAATAATTTTAAACAGTCAGAAGAAGTCACCCCAGTTTCATAACAGAACATCCTTCTGCAGCTCAGGGAGCCTGTTCAATCTGTGAGAAGAAGGGCAGCTGCAAGAGTTCAGAAAGGAAGGTTTGGGAGGTTAACAATATTWTTTTGTCAGACACTATTCCCTATCTTTCTTTGGCTTTCATACCTTGGCTTCATCCACAATCAAGTATGAAAACCAGATCTATCGTGGACTCSTCTGCTTCAGAAAATCATGACTAAAAGAGCTTTTATGGTTTTTTTTTTTTACAGTTATCACAGTCCAAAAGACAGAATAATTCTAGAATAGGTTCTTGGAGATGAGGAGACATTAGGACCCCATTTTCTCTGCACTAATCTGTCCTCATTAGTCATCAGATGCAGAAGCCTACAAAGACGCTGACAGATGTGCAAAAGGAGATTGCTAGTATCCATTCCATTAGTGCCAATGTAAAAGCAGACAATGCTGGTGACAGCAGCACCAATTCATCATCATCTTTTGACATCTAAATATAAAGTAACTTATCCCTAAAAATGCAGGCTGGCAGTAGCAAGAATACAAACTGCTCTTCCTCAGAGTATCAGTTCTCTAGGATGCCAAACATCTGCTCAAACTAACTTGTGTGAATTTGGCCCATTGTTTTTAAGTTTCTAATTCAAACTGCACTATGACTTCACTGTCTTGAGACCAAATAGCTTTTTTTTTCCTCTATTTTATAGACATTTATTTAAGATRTGGATGTTTTATATCAGTTTGAACTACTTCTGGAGTTCAACTCAGGTAGATCAAGCCACCTCTAGAAATAAGTGCATTCATCCAGCAGTCCTAAGAGCAATCAGCCCTCAACTGGGCTATCACTGAAGAACAATTCAACACTAATGTTTTTATAATTCCTAAGCATCTAAAAGCCATATAATGTCATTTTGTTTGTGAATTAAACACCATGTCATTACCACAACTTATTTGAAAGCCTTTCTTACTAGTACCAAAAGATGCTTTTCATCTCTGCATCTGTGTATTCTTACAAACCCCTAAGCAACTCTGAACAACTTTTAGGCAGTTTCTGCCTTATATTAACCTTAAAACTCAGTGTCAGATTTCAAGAAATTACTCTTTTTTGCTAGAAATATACTTATTTTTCCATTTCCAACAAAGGGAAGAATGCACAAGGTAGAAGTGAGTGTTACTATTAACTGCATCAAGTCTGTCAGGCATTTAAATTAGACTGATGTAGGATACACTGAATAACTGCAACAAAAAGCATCTTCTAGCATCAGACTCATTCAGTTAGCTCATAATTATCAACAAGGAACATTTCAGTCCAAGTTCTGTAAACCCAAAACACTCTGAAGATATGCAAAAGGCGCAGATATCRCCTTATTTTCTTAACCCAATCAATCCTCACCCCTAGGTTCATTGATTCCTTTTTCACACTTTTCCCCTTCTCTTTTTTTTCAACTCTTTCCGCATGAAATAAACCCAGGCCTTGAAATCTTTCAGATGAARTGATGTTTGCAAAAAGACATCTAAGGTTTTTGTGTTTTCCTCCTTCATGAGCAGGCAATGTTCTCCTRCATCAACAACAAAAAAAGTGTCTGTGTTTTTTTGGAATTAAACAACATAAGGCAATTAAATATTGAGAAGCAGTCACATGTATGATGAACATGAACCTTCCCATCAGTAATGTGGAAAAGGAGGAGCTGAACTTGTTCTGATTTGTAACCCCCTGTCCCAGGCCTGGCCTGAGGATGTTCATCTCTTGTAGCAACGAAGCAAACAGTTCTTGCCTGCACAGGTAGCATCTTGCCCATATATTCTTGGGTGGAAGAAAGATGCTAAGCAGCTGCTTGCTAAACTGAAGGCCATGAAAAATCATTTGGCTCTTCACCATAACATCAAACTTAATTCATACATTTTTGGCCCCCAAATTCCAAATTGTACATCAGTCTGTTTTTGAAAGTTTACGTTTAACATGTCTGGGGGGTTCCCAAGTATCACTATCATCCGTTTCTTCCTCGTCCTCATGATCATCCAGCATTTCATCTTCCTCCTCGTTCTCATCAAACAGCTCTATTCCAAGTTCTAATCTTCTTTGCCTTTCTGCAAACCATTCTCTGACCTGCTCATATCCCATGTGAGATTTGGCTACCAGTTCATCAAGGTCTTGCTCATTAAGGAATTTGTGCTTCATATAATAGTCCTTCAGGATTGCTGTTCCAGTTTTAAATTTTATGACAGACACACCTCTGTCCCAGCAATTTAACCTCTTACTTCCCCGAGGCCTCCCCCGAGGCCTCCCTCTCCCCCTCCCTTTTGGTCTTCCTCTCCCTCTCTTCCTTCCAAAGCCTTGTCCATTCAGGCTGTTTGCACTGGCGCTCTGGTAATAGTAATACCATTTCAATCCACCATTTTTCCAGGCATAACGAGTGTCTCCAAACCAGCTCACAATTTCTGATCTTGGAAGCCCAGTTTCTTCTGCCAGCTTGTTGTATTCTTGTGGAGATGGCCACTGAGTACGGACAAAGGAACTTTTGAGCATGTGCAACTGCTCTGGTGATTTTTTGCTTATTTTGCTTGAAGTGGAACACCCTGATTTTGTTCCTGCTGTTCCATCTCCCACAGAAGTCTCTCCAGACTCCTCTTTTGAGCTGCCAGCATTGGTTTCACTCATGTCAGCTCCCTCTTCCTTCAATACATTTGATTTACTTTTTTCTGTAAACCAGGCATCAATCTCTCTCCTGGTCAGTTTTGTTTGGGCTCTTAACCTATTCATCTCTTCTTCAGTAAGGACAGGGTTATTAAGAAAACTTGCTTGGAGGACTTGCAGCTGTTCAGCAGTCTTCTCTTTGAATTTCTGTGGGGTGAAGTCAGGAAAAGTACTCCAAGATGACTTGCTCTGTGGAGTGACTCCTGTTGGAGAGTCATTCATTTCATCACTTGAATCAATAACAATGGTGGCACAGGAATCACTGTTGAGATGAATCCCATGATTATTCTTTGAGTTTCTCTGATTGTAGCGTGTATCACTGAACCACTTTTTGATCTCTCCTTTAGTAAGGCCTGTTATTTTCATAAGTCTAACTATTTCTGAGTCTTGAGGAAACTGATTTTTAAGGTAGCTGACTTTCAATTCTGCCAGCTGTTCCTTAGTTTTTTTTGCTCGGATCCCAAAAGAGTCAGGATTCATCAGTGTGGATTCATTTTTGATAGACTGAGGGGCTGGAATGGCAGCTACTTGTTTGGTTTCTGCAATGGGCTGAGCACTGTGAATCTGACTCTTCTGTAACTGTGTTTGGTTTGGGACTCCCGCTACAGTCAAGGCTATTGGGGCTGTTACTGGTAACGTGTTTGTACCTGCAACTTGAGTGAGAACGAGTCCTGGCTGACCGACTATTTGGCATGTCTGCAAAATGGAAGGTAAACCATTGCTGGCAGCAGAAATGTGTGCTGGAATAACAGTAATTGTCTGTGGCACAGTATGCACTGTGCCATTAAATTGTTTCCTCCTTGCTTCCTCCACCTCCTCTGGTGTCCAGCTCACACCATGTTTCAGACGCTGGGCAGAAAACCATATTTTAATCTGTTCTTCAGTGTACTTAGCTTGAGTGGAAAGAACAGTGATTTCCGACATGGTTGGATAYGGGAATTTGTTGTAGGTGTTAAGCAATAGAGGATTGTTATCCAAAGCAGTATTATAGGCTGGAATGCTATTTACAGGTATTAGTACTTTTGGAATCAGATTTGAGTTCTGTGGAGCTGTAACAGCTGTGATAACCTGTGCCACCCCAGGCTGAAGCACTGGTGCAGGGGTCACTACTGCACCAGCCATATCTGCTGCACTGCAAACAGCTGAATGGCTTGGTTTTGACTCAGAAACTGCTGCTGGGGGGTTTTCTACTAATTCTTCAGAGTTTGGCTCATTTTCAGTTCCCTTTTCTTCACCAGGAATGTCATCAACTACATTGTGGAAAACAGCAATACGTTTAGTCTCCGTTTTGTTTTTCATCATTTTCATGATAGGAGTTTTGCTAATTGAGATCCCTGATGAGGGGGCCTCAGAAGAGTCAGCCTGTCCAGCATTTTCTTCTCTAACAAAACTTCCATCAAAAGTGAGATCATTTACTGTTTGTTCAAAGATTGTCTGGTTATTACGTTTCACCATGGTCAATTTAAAATTCTCCTCTCCAGGATGGTGCTTCAAATTATGTTCTGAGAGGGCATCATATCTTTTGGTAAGGAAATTACATTCTAAACAAACATAGGATGAATTTAATACTACATTAGGGTGCTCTGAATCCACATGGAAAGTAAACATATTGAGATCTGGAGTCTGAAAAGTACAGTATTTACACTCATAACCACCTTCTACTTTATTTGTATTTTTCTGATTGTCTGAATCCACATACTCGTGAGCATCCTCATCACTTGTTACACTCTCTGCTGTAGGGTTATCTGCTGGCGTGAGCACRGGTGGTCCTTCCTCCAAGTCTGATACCGTTTCTAGATCTGGATCCTGCTCATTGGCTAAGACCATGCACGGTGTTGTTGATTTTCGTTTACTTGCCATGGCTGTTACTGTGAAAATGATAACGACTGGTCAGATACAGACTTAGCTTCAAGCTCTTCTCGATTAATAATAGTAATAATAATAATAATAATGGCTTTCGGTACTTCAAGTCAGTTCTTGTAAAGTCTCAACATTTATCCCATTAGCAGCTTTTCTTTCGTAGTGCAATCAGATTAAAAACAGATAGTTCAGGATGAGATGTTGAGACACACTGTTTTAAAGTCCACATCCACCACCTGTAGCAAAGAAGAAACAGTGGAATTAGTTCAATTTCAAGAACAACTTCTATTCTGCTACATATTATGGTAATTTTTATTATGGTTTAAGGTAATTCAGTCCTTTGGGGTTTAGTGTGACACTGGTCATCCCCTCAAACCAGCAGACCCATTCCAAGAAGAGATAACTGAAAATAAGRCAAGAAAGGCAAAATCGAATCCACTTATTACAGGCTGAAATTTGTTTCAGTTCGTGCTAATTTAGTGATAGACATAAACACCATATAAACTTCCTGACTGTTTCCCTTTCTTCAGAAGCCTTTTTCTTGGTCAGTCTTGCCCTTGGACTGCTTTGCCTAAGCTACAACAGCTTCTCTCAACTGCTCTGTGAGCTCAAGTCCATTCTATCACTAACTTTAGCCCAGTACAACATATCCACCATGGGCTSTGTCATGTCTTTCATGTCAGAGGCTGTGAAGTGTCCCAGAAAAGGCAGGTTTAGAGTGTTTTTCTATTGCATTACACATGCAAGCACAGTCATGTTCAAGGCCTTTCTTCCCTGTCTGAAAGCAGGCAAAACAATGTCTTTTTAAGCCACTTTGACAGACAAAAGGCAACTATCTTTTCTTCCTAGCTTCCCAAATGTCATTCTCCAACTGAAGACCAATACCAAACCAATAAGACTTGACTGCTTGACTTGACTGAGCAAATGGCAATTAAATAACTGGTTTCATGCCTCTATGCATTAACGGAGATATGACTGATTGTGTAAACTGTAACAAAGAGAGAAAAAGCATTAAAGACTGGTATCTCAAGCAGAAGCCAAACAATGTTATGTATTCYCTGTTTAGAATTCTTATGTCCATTTCTAAGTAAAACTAAAGCACCACCAAATAAAGCTGAGGCCTACGGAAATTCAGAGAACAAATATATTCTAAAATAGCATAATTGAATTCTATCCGACAATGATCTGCTGGGAATGATGCACAAACTTTCACAGAGGATTTTAAATTCTAACAGTTTTATCCTTGACAGATTGACACTGATTTCTCATACCAGAAAACACATAGGTACATGTCTTGGTTTAGAGAAAAGTTTGGGAGAAAACACTCGGGAATGAATACTTCTTCTAAATAAAAGGGTTTCAGCAATCCTTTCCCACCAATACAAAAATTATTTTCTGGATGAATGTGAAAAAAACCTGTTTATTTAACAAACAAGGCGCCTGCAGGGCATGGGAAAAATGAATAACTGTTAGATAYTGAACTTACAGAACTTTACTCCCTCACACACACACACTCACCCACAGCAGAACAAACAAACCAAAATGCCGGGTGAAGGSAAGAAAAACTACCGAGCACGTGGTGAGAAGCAACAAAAGGGCAGACGGCTTTCTCAGGGAGGGGAGGGAAGTCCACCGAGGAGCTCAGGGGAAAAAAACAGATGGGAACCTGGTGAACCTCTGATGCTGGTCTCCTCCTCACAGCAGACAAAGCTGGTGGATTTACAGTCCTTTCTTTCATTGATTCAGCTTCTCCCAAGGTTTCGGCTGAAATGGGGTGTCCCTACGGCTTCCCTGCCAGTCYGCACTGACCAGCTCCTGCCAGTGGTCTCATTCGGACCAAAAACCAAACCGAACAGTCAAAAAAAAAAGCAACAGAAGCTGCCAGAGAATTGCTACTACATTTTGGGGACAAACTTTTTGATGAAGCTAATAAAACCTAAGTTAGCTAAAGCTACAATGTAGCCTTTGATCTGCACAGCAAGCAGAGCACACAGGAGAGTGAGAGCTTGAACAAAGCCCCCGCTGGAGCACCTCCAGATTCACCTTAAAGCTCCAGGACCCATTTCTGGGCATAAAGCAGACAATCAGGAATAGAGTATCATCATAAAATCACCCCAAGATAGTACATGAATTTTTAGACAGTGGAACATGGTCTACTTTCTGAAGTGTGGGCATCCTCAAGTTCAAGAGGAATGCATCCCCATATAGCTGTTTCAGAAGGTTTGGAAAGGGAACAACATGCAACAGATTAAAAACCAAAAGCCATCCCTGTGTGAAAAAGTCTTAAAGGAAAAAGAATAGTTAAATGGAAGAAGGGCAGATGCAAGAAACAGGAAGAGGAAAAGAAATACGGCTTTTCACAATATGACATGATGATTTTTTACTATTTTGATTTTGGAAGGTTGGAGACTGTGAGTAGGAAGGAAGATAAATAATCCTTAGCTTCACATTTTTTCTTTAGGCAAGACAAAAGTGTTCATCCATAGCTGCCACGCAGTGCTGCTCCAAAAGCTCTTTTTGAAACCGTGTGTCACCTTACTGCTTCGTAAATACCCTCCTTAAATATTTCTAACAGTCACTCTCAGCACTACATCTGTGACTACATCCAAAGTGCACAGCCTCACATGATATGCTTCACAGGCCAAGGATATGGCATTAAGGACACTAAAAATGCTCAATAAATCTTGGTAATCATCATTCCAGGTTGACAATTATTTAATGGTACTAGAGTAGAAAGACATCCTTCTTCCATAAGCTGATAGTGGCAGTATGTAAAAGTGAGCACAGAAGTGCAAAAGATAGTTATTTTAATGTATGTACAAAGTACGTATTGCAGGCCACCTCATTTTTCTTTGCAAGAGAGCCATGAAGCAAAGCTAAATGGATCCATTTGTCTCAGTGTCCTGAGGGACAAGAGGTAGAGTGTTATTAACTGTGCTGCTTCTCAAGGGCTGGAGGGCTCTTGACAAAAGGAAAGACAACTGCCAAGACAGTGTTGAGCAATGCTCTGGGGGAAGAGTTGGGTGGTATTACCTAATGTTTCTGCGATCTTGAGTAAAATTTCAGAAATGCCAGAAATGCCTCTTTCCAAAAGCAACTTAACTGTGGGGAATGCTGTTGAGGAATGGTTGTTCAGTAAAGGAGGACATGAGGAAATTCAGCTGATTGAGCTAGAATTGAGCTAGACGCCAGGGAGGATCAAGAAAGATAAAAACAGCACAAGAATGAGGAAGCTGTAACYGCAAGTGCATACATKAGGGAGCTTTTGCAATATGGGGGGCTGACCGTTATTATTAGAAAAGGCAAGATCAGCAGAGGTATGAAGAAATGTAACYGCAAGTRGRCACAYAGGGGTGGGATTGACTATTATTGCATTGTCCAATGATGAGCTATGCTTTTGCAATATGTATGASCTTATTATCTTGATTATAAAAGGGCAGAGGTCCCGAAATAAAATTGAGGCTTGATGACCATGAAAGCTTGAGGCTTGTCTYCCGCRACTTCTTCCCAACATCTGGCGCCCAAACAGGGACCCTGCTCKTCTTGGGAAAGTTGTGTTGGGTTCGGGTCCTGCAGCTAGAAGACGGYGATCAAGCTACGATATTCTGCTCCGCGYCCTGAGTGACCACAGCGGTGGGCTCAGCCRATACATGCTGCCGAAGCCTGGAGGGGCTGCAACAGCGCTGACGTGAGTATGGATAGGCAAGCAGCATATGACCTTTTCATTTCCCTTTTAAAAAGGAGGCAGATTAAGGGGATTGACTTAGATAAGGATCTCCCTGTTTTATTAAATCACGCAACTTCTTATGGTTTCTTTAGTAATGCGCATTCCGTTCACGAATTAGGTGAATGGAGGCGGTACAGAGACAAACTGTGGGAGTTGATGCTCGATGAAGATATATCAGCTAAAAAGATGAGCAAATTGTGGAGGATTGTTCATAATGAATTGTTRATGTGCCAGGCAGAGAAAAGGGCGGCCGAAGGGGTCAAGGTAGCACAGGAGCRAAATCGTGGCTATGCTGATTCACCAGATCCTAGTGCTCCGAACCCCCCTTTTCTTACCACCATTGATATACCCTCACCCGCACCAAGTGCCCCTCTGCCTCAACCTGCTCAAGCAGGCGTCCCCGAACATGGTCGTCAGGAAATGCTCCCGCAGCCCTTGCCGCTTCCTCCATCTGYATCTCTCAGTAGTCAGGAGCCTGTCCCTGGGGCAGAATCTGACCTCGCGGAGGCCATGGCCAGAGAGAGAAGGGAGCTATGGGGGGTGATTGCCCGCCACGGGATGGAACATGGGGACGCTGATCTTGTTACAGCAGCCCAGGAGACCTTGGCGTTCCCTGTTGTTTTTGAACCTAATCCACAGGGGGGACAGCGGGCGAGGGTACAGAATTTGGATTGGAAGATGTTAGCCCAATTGCGTGCCACTGTGGGGAGTTACGGAGTTACGAGTGAACCGGTGAAACAAATGCTTGATTACATGTTTAATGCTCAAGTCTTCTACCTGCCGATATTAAAGGTATTGCCAAATTAATTTATACCCCCCATCAGCATCTGTTATTTGAGGYRCGATGGAGGGAGGAGGCAGCGCTTAGTGCAAACCTCCCGAGACCCCAGGGAGATCCCTTAGCAGGAATCACCGTTGATGAGCTTATGGGCCATGGTGCGTTCCTCCRTGTAGAAGCACAGGCGACCTTAGGGGCCGATAAGCTCAGGGAAGCTATGGCGGTAGCAAAAAGGGCRATGAATAAAGTAAAAGCTCCGGGAGGTATTCCTATTTATATGGGGATAAAGCAGGGTAGGGAAGAACCGCTCRGTGCCTTTGTTGATAAAATCATGGAAGCCATGTCAAAGGCAGGAGTRACAGATCACATGCAAGATGCCCTGCTTAAACAATGCATTTTACAAAATGGCAATCCTACAACACGAACCTTAATCAGTTCAATCCCAGGGGACTGGAGAGTACAAGATCTTTTAGATAAAGCAGCATCTATGCCGATTGGCCCCCAGGTGTTCTTAGTTAATGCATTACAGAAGATAGGAGATGGGTTGCAGGAGCAAGCTACAGCTYTGMGAGAACAGGCTATTAGTTVCCASAATCAGGTCATGGCAGCWCTTGCTCCCCTCCAAGCGGCAGCCGCTCGCCCCCGCACTACTACTGGTGGTCAAATGAAATGTTATCGATGTGGGAACGCCGGTCACATTCGCCGAGAATGCCAAGCCACGGGGGTGTGGT